AATAGTTGTCTACAGAAAAAAAAATCTTTATATTTTACTAAAATATTTTGTTATTTTCTTTGTTTTTTTTTTTTCGTTTTTCACGGGTTTCCTCAGATATTAAAAAAACCGCTTGAAAAATCAAAAAATGACCTTGCTAAATTACTATGGAGATAAAATTTCTTTTCAGAAAATAAGCTATACTTGATACACCGAAGCTATATATCTTGAAGGAAAGTGTGCACAACAATTCGAGGGGTATTTTGCGATTAAAATAGTTCGAGGGAACGATGGCTTGGATCACCTGGTCCATCGAAAATTAATTTTTTTTCCTTGTTAAAAAAAAAAAAAAACAATTGTTTGAACTCGGATGACAAAAGGCATAAATAATCATTAGATCATAACACATATGCTTTTAATTAAGACAATAAAGAGTTATTTAACATAACCTGTAATATCCGCATAATCTATGAAATTGAAAAAACTATAATTTAAGAACTAAGTCAGCTTCTTAATTTTGACTCAACCATATATTCTTCAAATGATAATATAAAAATGTACAAAATAAAAAAATTTTTGAAAAAATAGATTTGTCCATATAATTTTTTTACTCAAAGATTTTCGTCAACATTTGATATCAAAATTCTCTTATAAAAAAAATACTACATTCAAATCAATTATTNTTGATCAAGACCGTGGATGACCGTCATGATGTACGTCCTCACCGTTCGGACTGACGTAAAAGATATATTTTAGAGCGAGATTACAAAGTTTCCTCTTATCAGTAACTGGTGATTAAACATTTGATTCCCAAACAAATACATGATCCGATTTCCACATGCATTGAAATCTAAACTAAAAGAAAGTTCTTGTACGAATTTTTACCATTCACGACGGATAAAAATTATATAGGATAATATGTCATATAATTCTTTCTATGACGCTTTAATTCGTGTTCTAATTTAGCTGACTGTTGTTTCTTTTTTTCTCTAAGTTTATTCCAAAAAAACTAAGACCTGTATATGTAACAATGGTAAATGTATACATTGTCTTTCACTGACCATTGTGTTATTATAAACTATAATAACATGATAACTATACTAAAATAATTATTATTTAACGGATAAACGCACGACATGAATATTTGATATTAAAAACTCAACTAAAAACTTAAAAACAAAATACCTCTGCCGTTAAAAAAATTAAATTCAATTAACTAGGTTAAAACAAAATAACTAAATAATAAAACGGTAACATTATATTTGAAATATTAAAACTCATAAATGTGTAATATAAATAATACCGAAAACTGACAGAATAAAAACCAAAAAAGAAATCAAATTCAGAGTCCGAAAAGAAGCCAAAGTCATGTTTGATAATAGCGTTTTCCATTTGACTGCACCATTGCACATAGAGCGGGTAGGTTATGCTGCCCGAAAAACTCTCGAGTGCATGAATCAAGTGGAATTTTTACAGTTACCATGTATAAATATTAATTATAAATTTTGTCCAAAAAAAAAATAGTTTACTAGTTTATCTATATGTTATCAGTTAAAAATACATTATTATTACCCAAGCATCGTGATTGGGATTTTTATCAATAATTCGAGCACGTTCGAAAAATGACCTCCTTAAAGTACCTTCCCAGTTAGATTTTCTTTCAGAAAAAGTGATATAATTGTAAATCGAAGCGAAATTGCTAGTAAAATAGTTGTCTACAGAAAAAAAAATCTTTATATTTTACTAAAATATTTTGTTATTTTCTTTGTTTTTTTTTTTTCGTTTTTCACGGGTTTCCTCAGATATTAAAAAAACCGCTTGAAAAATCAAAAAATGACCTTGCTAAATTACTATGGAGATAAAATTTCTTTTCAGAAAATAAGCTATACTTGATACACCGAAGCTATATATCTTGAAGGAAAGTGTGCACAACAATTCGAGGGGTATTTTGCGATTAAAATAGTTCGAGGGAACGATGGCTTGGATCACCTGGTCCATCGAAAATTAATTTTTTTTNAAATGTACAAAATAAAAAAATTTTTGAAAAAATAGATTTGTCCATATAATTTTTTTACTCAAAGATTTTCGTCAACATTTGATATCAAAATTCTCTTATAAAAAAAATACTACATTCAAATCAATTATTTTTGACTACAAAGTAAGACTCTTAACTATCCTCCTGTTAAATTTTAAATCATTATTGTTCGAATCAAACCATTTTACCGCAAAGTACCTACCGGATGAACATTACATAAAAAAACTCTCAAAATTAAAACGCCTATAAATACCTTAAAAATAACTTAAATATTTTGAAAATTTGACCATGTCTAGAAAATGCAAATTTAAGTTTTTTGTCTAAAAAACAAGTCTCTATGAATATTTTTAACTGAATCAGAACAAATCACAAAATGTATAACAAAATTAAAGCATTTATTTCGTACATCTCTCGTTTTTCTTACGTTTTATCTTGGTTTTTCCCAAATATCATAAAAACCACTTGAAAAATAAAAAATAAAACCTCTAAATGGTACCATCTGGATAACATTCCCTTTCAAAAATCGTTCCGCGAGTATATATCTGAGCAATATTTTTGCTAGAATTTTTGTTCACAGGCCAAAAAATATTTATATTGTTTGTAATAATATATCTCTATGTTTACGAAAACATTAAATAAGAATAACTAACACTGAACGAGTTTTATCCGGAGAGAATTTCGAAGAAGTCTAAATTTGAATTACAATAACAAATATATATAGGACGTCTTTAAATTGAATAATGAACCATGACATAAACAAGAACATCATAAACAAGAAGTAACATCATCAACGTACAAAAAAAGAGCAGAAATTATACTAAATAAACTTGAAACAGATATTAATTGTATAGATTATAATGTGATACTAGTTTCACGTCATATGAAAATTGCAAGAGTAATTTAAAAAAATGCTGATACTTTGGATGGGTACAGCTACTGTAGTAGGTAGAAAGTTGGGATGGTAGGATACGTAAGGTTATTTTATTTATATCTATTAGCAAAGATAAACCATTGCTTGACGAAAGACGATTCTGAGCGCAGTTGGGTAATACATCATTTTTGCGATTTTTTTCTTTAAATTTGATTTCAACAAGCTTATTAATAAGAAAAAAGAATTATCTGATGACTTTTGAAATTTTACTACGTCCAGGTTATTCCATTATAAGTATTATTACTACGTTTCAAGTATTTACGTGTATTTATAACCAAATTACAGCAAATAAACTCCCAAAATTAAAAATTCCGTATAAGCTCAAAAGTTGTGGCGATGATATCGTAAGAAAATAAACCTAAAAAGCAACAAAAAAGGAAAATTGAGTCCGTGTTTTTATAAAATAAGGAAATCGTGAAATTGTACGTTTTTAAATTTTTTTTCTCACCGAAGTACTTTTTTAAAAAAATAGCTTAGAAGGCTGGAGTGTCTTCATTAGAGTACAATCTAGATAACTTGAGCTTTCACCGAAATTGCTAAACGTAAAAATCGGATCATGTTTACCAGGAAAAAAATGTGCCCGCAGTCTAGAACAAAGAACAAAGAAATAATGAAATTAACTTCATTGTAAAACCAATAGCTTGTTCTCTACGCTGGGAATCTAAAATGTGTGATAATATACCGACTGCTGTATAAAATGTGATAAGATCAAACAGTCAAAGTCAATATGCCTCGCTATGACAAACTCCAATCACGAAGAAAATGGTTACGTTTATATATTAAATAAAAATATTGAAAAAAAAATATAGCTGGAGGATAGTATAGGTTGATGACTCGCATCAAGATATTGAGCGGCTATGTTATAGGTATAGAGCCCGTACCTGCACTCAGGGTAGAACCGCTATTTTCTTTCTACTTTTCTTCTAATATAATATAAGTAAATTTATTTAGAGATTGTTCAATATAACTATTGAGTATTTGTTCAAGGGTTTTTAATGAATAAAATCCAACTGACAAAGTATATCTTGTTATATGACCGTTTGGTCCAATAATAAAGTCACATTTTCGATTAATTTGTAAAATTTTGTCTTCAGGATCAAGTATTGTAAGTTTTAATGGTAAATCTCTAACAACTATACCTTTTGATAAACTAAAAAACTTATTCCTTTCACAAAAAAAAAACAAAATTTTTGTTTAATTATTCATCTTAATTTAAAAATATTATTAAAATTGGTATAAATCGTATGTCCATCTAGAGATATTACAAAACGATAAACAAATTTAAATAACTCATCTATGGCATATTTTCCAAGTTTAATTCAATTATATTAACTTTACTAAATAGTAATCAATATTTTTCAATATTTATTTAATTGAGCAATCAAAATAATTGAGCAAAAATGTTTTCTCGGGAAATTTTGATTATTTATGAGTTTTGTTTGCTTAGTTATTTGAAAAAAAAGTTGCTTCAACACTTATTGTAATATTAAAATTCAGGATTACAATAGATTCCAGTAATACGAATAGTCGATCGATTAACTGGAATTCGTAAAGATATTAAAACCTTAATTCAATTCTAGTTAAGAACGGCTAGATTATTTGAAATATTTAATATATAACTTACGTCGTGGTCCTGGAATTGTTGGTGGAGGAGTAAAAAAAAAAAGAATTCCATTAAAAATATATATTTTATTTTTGTATTGCAAAACTCATCACTATTAATGACCGGCAATTCAGTAAACATTCATTAAAGCATTAAAAATATCCGAAAAAGGTTTTGTAGCTGAAAGTATATCTATAGGGTATTCAGGTATTCAAATAAATTGAGCACAAACATTATCTCAGAAAAAGTTGATATTTTCTCAGTATTATAATCTATAACATTTTAAAAAGATGATGTTATATCACATATGTTAATATTATAACTAGAGTTGAAAACGATTTCGGGAATCCGAATCGTCGATCGATAAATAGGAACTCGTAAGTAAAATTAAACCCTAATTCAATTCAGCTTGAAAATGTATAGACTATATGAAATATTTAATATATAACTTACGTCGTGGTCCTGGAACTGCTGGTGCTGGAGTAATAAAAATAAGAATTCCATTTAAAATATATTTTCTATTTGTATTGCAAAATTCATCACTATTAATGGCCGGAAATACAGCAAACATTCATTAAAGCTTTAAAAATATCTGAAAAATATTTTGTAGCGGAATGCATATCTATCTGTTAATCCAATTAATTGAACACAAACATCATCATAGGATAATTTGGTTTTTTCTTAGTGTTATTTTCTTTCCGTTTTAAGTTCAGGAATTCACGGTTAACACTGTGTTGAACGCTTTAGTTTTGGACTAAACATTAAAAAGTAATCGTACCCGAAATCATAATATTATCCTATGTTTATATGTATATCTTCCGTGGATAGCTACGAAATTATTTTCTAACTATAACCGATATTAGACACAAATTTTATATAATTTTTTGTAGTTCACTATAGTAGTATTGAAGCATACGAGGTAAATTCCCTCTCGAATTAAAGTATCATATTTTATGCTAGTCTCCCCTAACTTCAGGTCTAACGAGCGCCAATTATTATGTATTACATTTTAAAATACTTGTTCGAGAATATTCGGGATACGCGAAACTGATGGGTTGTCCTCAGATAAAACTTTAAGACAATTTTATAATTGATCACTATCAATAGTCAATTTATCACGGAAAATGTTCATTATTCTGCTATAAATAATTAAAAATTATTTCATTTCCGATGGCTAGTTTAAATTACACGATATTCAATCTGAACTTCGTTGATGTTAATGCCAAACTAATTTTATTCAGAAGGAAAATGTTTTATAATAAGTTATACTAAGTTTATACATTTTGTCAGTTATCATCGGTGCATTTTTAACACAAAGAAACACAATGACCACAACAGAAATATTCCGCACGGACTTTTTAAAAGTATTTTTAAATATTTATTATTCAGTATTTAAAATTCATAAATTTAGAGAATTTATAGACACATTATGTAATTCAGAATTGAAAAATATTCCAGCAATCCGAATCGTGGATCGACAAATAGGAACTCGTATGAAAAATTAAACCCCTTATTCAATTCAGGTTGAAAACGGATAGACTATATGAAATATTTAATATATAACTTACATTGTGGTCCTGGAATTGCTGGTGCTAGGGTAAAAAAAGAAAAATATCATTTTAAATATTGTTTTGTAAAATTTATCACATATAATGAATAGGAATACATTAAACCTTCTTTCTAGCGTAATAAATTGCCGAATATTGTTTCGTAGCAGATTGCATATCTATCAGATGAACTAATTTTTAGGCACAAATATTTTATCAAATAAAGTTGATATTTTCTTAGTATTATAATCTATAACATTTTAAAAATATGATGTTATATCACATATGTTAATATTATAACTAGAGTTGAAAACGATTTCGGAAATCCGAATCGTTGATCGATAAATAGGAACTCGTAAGTAAAATTAAACCCTAATTCAAATCACGTTGAAAATGGATAGACTATATGAAATATTTAATATATAACTTACGTCGTGGTCCTGGAACTGCTGGTGCTGGAGTAATAAAAATAAGAATTCCATTTAAAATATATTTTCTATTTGTATTGCAAAATTCATCACTATCCGAATCGTTGATCGATAAATAGGAACTCGTAAGTAAAATTATACCCTAAATCAATTCAGGTTGATAATGGATAGACTGTATGAAATATTTAATATATAACTTACATCGTGGTCCTGGAACTGCTGGTGCTGGAGTAATAAAAAGAAGAATTCCATTTAAAATATATTTTCTATTTGTATTGCAAAATTCATCACTATTAATGGCCGGAAATACAGCAAACATTCATTAAAGCTTTAAAAATATCTGAAAAATATTTTGTAGCGGAATGCGTATCTATCTGTTAATCCAATAATTGAACACAAACATCATCTCAGAATAATTTGGTTTTTTCTTAGTGTTATTTTCTTTCCGTTTTAAGTTCAGGAATTCACGGTTAACACTGTGTTGAACGCTTTAGTTTTGGACTAAACATTAAAAAGTAATCGTACCCGAAATCATAATATTATCCTATGTTTATATGTATATCTTCCGTGGATAGCTACGAAATTATTTTCTAACTATAACCGATATTAGACACAAATTTTATATAATTTTTTGTAGTTCACTATAGTAGTATTGAAGCATACGAGGTAAATTCCCTCTCGAATAAAAGTATCATATTTTATGCTAGTCTCCCCTAACTTCAGGTCTAACGAGCGCCAATTATTATGTATTACATTTTAAAATACTTGTTCGAGAATATTCGGGATACGCGAAACTGATGGGTTGTCCTCAGATAAAACTTTAAGACAATTTTATAATTGATCACTATCAATAGTCAATTTATCACGGAAAATGTTCATTATTCTGCTATAAATATTTAAAAATTATTTCATTTCCGATGGCTAGTTTAAATTACACGATATTCAATCTGAACTTCGTTGATGTTAATGCCAAACTAATTTTATTCAGAAGGAAAATGTTTTATAATAAGTTATACTAAGTTTATACATTTTGTCAGTTATCATCGGTGCATTTTTAACACAAAGATACACAATGACCACAACAGAAATATTCCGCACGGACTTTTTAAAAGTATTTTTAAATATGTATTATTCAGTATTTAAAATTCATAAATTTAGAGAATTTATAGACACATTATGTAATTCAGAATTGAAAAATATTCCAGCAATCCGAATCGTGGATCGACAAATAGGAACTCGTATGAAAAATTAAACCCCTTATTCAATTCAGGTTGAAAACGGATAGACTATATGAAATATTTAATATATAACTTACATTGTGGTCCTGGAATTGCTGGTGCTAGGGTAAAAAAAGAAAAATATCATTTTAAATATTGTTTTGTAAAATTTATCACATATAATGAATAGGAATACATTAAACCTTCTTTCTAGCGTAATAAATTGCCGAATATTGTTTCGTAGCAGATTGCATATCTATCAGATGAACTAATTTTTAGGCACAAATATTTTATCAAATAAAGTTGATATTTTCTTAGTATTATAATCTATAACATTTTAAAAATATGATGTTATATCACATATGTTAATATTATAACTAGAGTTGAAAACGATTTCGGAAATCCGAATCGTTGATCGATAAATAGGAACTCGTAAGTAAAATTAAACCCTAATTCAATTCAGGTTGAAAATGGATAGACTATATGAAATATTTAATATATAACTTACATTGTGGTCCTGGAATTGCTGGTGCTAGGGTAAAAAAAGAAAAATATCATTTTAAATATTGTATTGTAAAATTNACTGATGGGTTGTCCTCAGATAAAACTTTAAGACAATTTTATAATTGATCACTATCAATAGTCAATTTATCACGGAAAATGTTCATTATTCTGCTATAAATAATTAAAAATTATTTCATTTCCGATGGCTAGTTTAAATTACACGATATTCAATCTGAACTTCGTTGATGTTAATGCCAAACTAATTTTATTCAGAAGGAAAATGTTTTATAATAAGTTATACTAAGTTTATACATTTTGTCAGTTATCATCGGTGCATTTTTAACACAAAGAAACACAATGACCACAACAGAAATATTCCGCACGGACTTTTTAAAAGTATTTTTAAATATGTATTATTCAGTATTTAAAATTCATAAATTTAGAGAATTTATAGACACATTATGTAATTCAGAATTGAAAAATATTCCAGCAATCCGAATCGTGGATCGATAAATAGGAACTCGTAAGTAAAATTAAACCCTAATTTAATTCAGGTTGAAAATGGCTAGACTATATGAAATATTTAATATATAACTTACATTGTGGTCCTGGAATTGCTGGTGCTAGGGTAAAAAAAGAAAAATATCATTTTAAATATTGTATTGTAAAATTTATCACAAATAATGAATGGGAAGACATAACACCTTCATTCTAGCGTAATAAATTGCCGAATATTGTTTCGTAGCAGATTGCATATCTATCAGATGAACTAATTTTTAGGCACAAATATTTTATCAAATAAAGTTGATATTTTCTTAGTATTATAATCTATAACATTTTAAAAATATGATGTTATATCACATATGTTAATATTATAACTAGAGTTGAAAACGATTTCGGAAATCCGAATCGTCGATCGATAAATAGGAACTCGTAAGTAAAATTAAACCCTAATTCAATTCAGCTTGAAAATGTATAGACTATATGAAATATTTAATATATAACTTACGTCGTGGTCCTGGAACTGCTGGTGCTGGAGTAATAAAAATAAGAATTCCATTTAAAATATATTTTCTATTTGTATTGCAAAATTCATCACTATTAATGGCCGGAAATACAGCAAACATTCATTAAAGCTTTAAAAATATCTGAAAAATATTTTGTAGCGGAATGCGTATCTATCTGTTAATCCAATAATTGAACACAAACATCATCTCAGAATAATTTGGTTTTTTCTTAGTGTTATTTTCTTTCCGTTTTAAGTTCAGGAATTCACGGTTAACACTGTGTTGAACGCTTTAGTTTTGAACTAAACATTAAAAAGTAATCGTACCCGAAATCATAATATTATCCTATGTTTATATGTATATCTTCCGTGGATAGCTACGAAATTATTTTCTAACTATAACCGATATTAGACACAAATTTTATATAATTTTTTGTAGTTCACTATAGTAGTATTGAAGCATACGAGGTAAATTCCCTCTCGAATTAAAGTATCATATTTTATGCTAGTCTCCCCTAACTTCAGGTCTAACGAGCGCCAATTATTATGTATTACATTTTAAAATACTTGTTCGAGAATATTCGGGATACGCGAAACTGATGGGTTGTCCTCAGATAAAACTTTAAGACAATTTTATAATTGATCACTATCAATAGTCAATTTATCACGGAAAATGTTCATTATTCTGCTATAAATAATTAAAAATTATTTCATTTCCGATGGCTAGTTTAAATTACACGATATTCAATCTGAACTTCGTTGATGTTAATGCCAAACTAATTTTATTCAGAAGGAAAATGTTTTATAATAAGTTATACTAAGTTTATACATTTTGTCAGTTATCATCGGTGCATTTTTAACACAAAGATACACAATGACCACAACAGAAATATTCCGCACGGACTTTTTAAAAGTATTTTTAAATATTTATTATTCAGTATTTAAAATTCATAAATTTAGAGAATTTATAGACACATTAGGTAATTCAGAATTGAAAAATATTCCAGCAATCCGAATCGTGGATCGATAAATAGGAACTCGTAAGAAAAATTAAACCCTAATTAAATTCAGGTTGAAAACAGATAGACTATATGAAATGTTTAATATATAACTTACATTGTGGTCCTGGAATTGCTGGTGCTAGGGTAAAAAAAGAAAAATATCATTTTAAATATTGTATTGTAAAATTTACACAAATTATGAATGGCAATACATTAAACCTTCATTCTAGCGTTGTAAATTGCCGAATATTGTTTCGTAGCAGATTGCATATCTATCAGATGAACTAATTTTTGGGCACAAATATTATATCAAATAAAGTTGATATTTTCTCAGTAATATAATCTATAACATTTTAAAAAGACGATGTTATATCACATTTGTTAATATTATAACTAGAGGTGAAAACGATTTCAGAAATCCGAAAAGTAGAACGATAAATTAGAACTAGTAAGAATAATAAAACCTTAATTCAATATTAGTAAAAAACGGTTAGACTCTTTGAAAATATTAATATATAACTTACGTCGTGGTCCGGGACTGGTTGGTGCTAGAGTAAAAAAAGGAAAATATCATTTTAAATATTGTGTTGTAAAATTTATCACAAATAATGAATGGCAATACATTAAACCTTCGTTCTAGCGTTATAAATTGCCGAATATTGTTTCGTAGCAGATCGCATATCTATCAGATGAACTAATTTTTGGGCACAAATATTATATCAAATAAAGTTGATATTTTCTCAGTATTATAATCTATAACATTTTAAAAAGATGATGTTATATCACATATGTTAATATTCTAACTAGAGTTGAAAACGATTTCGGAAATCCGAATCGTCGATCGATAAATAGGAACTCGTAAGTAAAATTAAACCCTAATTCAATTCAGCTTGAAAATGTATAGACTATATGAAATATTTAATATATAACTTACGTCGTGGTCCTGGAACTGCTGGTGCTGGAGTAATAAAAATAAGAATTCCATTTAAAATATATTTTCTATTTGTATTGCAAAATTCATCACTATTAATGGCCGGAAATACAGCAAACATTCATTAAAGCTTTAAAAATATCTGAAAAATATTTTGTAGCGGAATGCATATCTATCTGTTAATCCAATTAATTGAACACAAACATCATCATAGGATAATTTGGTTTTTTCTTAGTGTTATTTTCTTTCCGTTTTAAGTTCAGGAATTCACGGTTAACACTGTGTTGAACGCTTTAGTTTTGGACTAAACATTAAAAAGTAATCGTACCCGAAATCATAATATTATCCTATGTTTATATGTATATCTTCCGTGGATAGCTACGAAATTATTTTCTAACTATAACCGATATTAGTCACAAATTTTATAGAATTTTTTGTAGTTCACTATAGTAGTATTGAAGCATACGAGGTAAATTCCCTCTCGAATAAAAGTATCATATTTTATGCTAGTCTCCCCTAACTTCAGGTCTAACGAGCGCCAATTATTATGTATTACATTTTAAAATACTTGTTCGAGAATATTCGGGATACGCGAAACTGATGGGTTGTCCTCAGATAAAACTTTAAGACAATTTTATAATTGATCACTATCAATAGTCAATTTATCACGGAAAATGTTCATTATTCTGCTATAAATAATTAAAAATTATTTCATTTCCGATGGCTAGTTTAAATTACACGATATTCAATCTGAACTTCGTTGATGTTAATGCCAAACTAATNCTATCGGATGAACTAATTTTTGGGCACAAATATTATATCAAATAAAGTTGATATTTTCTCAGTATTATAATCTATAACATTTTAAAAAGATGATGTTATATCACATATGTTAATATTCTAACTAGAGTTGAAAACGATTTCGGAAATCCGAATCGTCGATCGATAAATAGGAACTCGTAAGTAAAATTAAACCCTAATTCAAATCACGTTGAAAATGGATAGACTATATGAAATATTTAATATATAACTTACGTCGTGGTCCTGGAACTGCTGGTGGTGGAGTAAGGAAAAAAAGAATTCCATTTAAAATATAATTTTTTTTTTTATTGCAAAATTCATTACTTTTACGAAATCGCGTCCGTGTAGAATTATGTATATACACAGACACAGGTTTCCTCAATTCTTAAACTTAAATTAGACTTTGAGCCAACTCTGTTTATGGACACATTATTAGTGTCATACCGGGCCAGTGAGATATTATCCCAGCCCGCCAGCTGCTCAAAATCAAAATATAAAATTAAAAATAAATTCATGATAGATATTGTTTATTCAGTTGATTACAATAAAACGTATTGAATAAATGTTATTTTATGTTACTCATTACAGGTGCTACAGTCCATAGTTTGGAGCAATGTTTTCTGGTAGAAATGTTGTTCACCGACAGAAAAAAATAAAGACATGTAGTATATTCAATATATGTTCTGAGGAACAAACCGAGGTTCGTTCACTCAAATTCTAAAATTATTAAAAATCATTTGCACCTAATTTAAATTTCACAATGATATATATTTTTAATTTTTTTTTCTGGGAAAAACGCAGAAAAAACGGGAAAATAGATTCAATATTATTAAAGAAAATATACAATGTAAATGGAAGTATTTAACCATAATATGACGTACATTTTTGACAAGTCATGATAATCAATCGAACTTAGCTCAAAATCGTTTATTCGTAAGTAACAGTTAATCGTACAGCTTACAAATGTATATGAAATTACCATTAAAAGAGGCTCCAATCGTTTCCATGATCCTAGGGTAACGTTTTTTATTTTGTTGTATTGCAATGTATATACATTTTTTTCAGCCTCCACCCCCAAAATAGAATTTTGGATATACGCCTGTAACTGTGTAATGATATAAATTTCTATTTTTATATACAGGTAATCCTGAACCAACTATAATGCCATCAGGTAATGCCCTACGCACATTTATGTGGCTGTATTTATCTAATAAAAGTAGACACAAGGACTTAAAAGATCTTTAACTCCATTAAACCTCATTAGCACTAATGAAGATGGAAAATTTATTTAATGACATATTGCAAGATATGGGATTTTACCGTACTTTTCTTCACTACCTTCCACTAGTACAAATATATGTGTATACAATTTACTGTTAAAGTCTTCGACTTCGAAAATTATTATTGAACTTTTTTGTAAAATAGTAAGAGGTTTTCAAAAATTAGGCATTAATAAAACTAAAATTATATACTTACAAAAAGCTTTAGTATATAATGAAACGAAAAAACAAAGTGAACGACATACCATTCTTGTTATGTTCAACTTGTTTGTAAATGGATAATCAATGATGTTTCACTCCCTAGCAGTATGTAATCAATTTATAGCATAAATGTAAGCAGTAGATTAAGCATTCACTTGAGCAACCCTTAAGCGTTCCTCACTACATCAATACTTGGCTGTTTGTGCTAATTTTACATTAGGAAATCAATCTTCTGACTCACTTTAACTCGCAATCTGTTTTGTTCGAATAGATATAGTTCATCTTTTAAAATTGGTAAGTAAATGGAATTCAATAAAGACCCAACCTAGACGAGTTAAAGAAGTTATATTACGCAATATAATTTCAATAATAAAGAGATAATCACTACCAGAAATATATTAAACTCTCTTATCTTTATTTATTGTTTTATCAAATGAAACAGATAGATCTGACATAAACACCGGACGAGACGCTCTTTGTGAACGACATAAAAATATTTTAATGCAAATTACATCCACTGACTTTATAGACCTTAAACAATTATACATTTGAATAATGACTAATTTTGAATCAGAACATCACGCTTGTATTTTTCTTAAGGAACAATATGCATCCTAAGTCGATGTTGTCGATAACAAAAAAATCTTTTTCAAAAATGGACTTAAGACATTTTTTAAAAAAAAACCAAAAAAAAAAAACAAGTAGTCGATAAAAATATTATGGAAAATAATACTAAAAAAAATGTTGAAAAAAAGGAGTGGAAGAAAACATAAGTCATTGAAGAGGTAGACGTTGGATACTCCATGCACCTACACCTACACCAGGATTTTGGGCGGCCATGTTATGGGTATAGGGCCCACACTTGCACCCGGGGTAGAATCGAAATTTTCATTATATTCTTTTTCCAATGTTACTTAAATAAATATTACTATAGTTCGTTCACCATAACTATTAAATATATTTTTCAGAGTTTTTAATGAACACAATCCAACTGGCAAGGTATATATAGTTATGTGACGTTTCATCTAATAATAAATTCATATTCTTGATTGATACATACATAAATTTATCTTCAGAATCAAGTGTTG